ACACGTGCAGCCCCCTGGGCGGGGGTGATACCAACCCTAAAATCTTAAATGGAAAGGGGGGTCGAGTGATACCTTATTTTAAAGGTCTTTCAATTCCCTTATAATGATGTAAAATACATGAGCTTAAGTTCAGTAGTTTTGAATATTTATTGATTTAAAACTTAAAGTAAACTTTAATAGGTACATCAGATTAGTTTGTACTACTTTCAGAAGAAATTTGACTAAAATAATTTACTTAATAAGTAAATTTTGATCGGCGATTACAATTTAAGATATGAGTGAACGAATTATAAACGATGAACATTTTCTATTCAACACTTGATTTTCCGACGAATGTTCCTTCTCTTAAATGGAGTAGTAAATCGTCATAATTGCCGATATTGGTCCGATTCTAATCCCAGAATTTATCATGAGGTTCATACACAGCAGCCACCAAAAATTAAATGTTTGGGCTGGTATTTTTGGCGATCATTTAGTTGGTCCTTTTTTCTTACCTGGAAATTTGACCGGTGAAATGTATTTGGAATTACTGGAAAACGCCATAGATCCTGCATTAACAGCCATAATTGCGGCGGTACATTGCGAATAGGTTGATGTTCCAATAGGATGGTGCCCCACCACATTACGCATTACGTGTTCGACAATATTTAGATCAGACGTTTCCAGATCGATGGATTGGTAGAAGAAGTGCCACTGAATGGCCCCCAAGATCGCCAGACTTAATACCTTTGGATTTCTTTATGTGGGGTCATTTAAAAAGCAAAATCTATGCTACTCAGGCAACATCATTAGAAGACTTGCGACAAAGAATTGTGATTGAGTGCCTTCAAATTACTCCTTAAAACTACTGAACTGAAGTACATTAATTTTATATCATTATAAAGGGAATTGAAAGACTTTTAAAATAAGGCATCACTCGACCCCCCTTTCCATTTAAGATTTTGGGGGTGGTGTCACCCCCGCTTAGGGGGCTGCACGTGCTAACGTGATTTTTTGCCTAACTTGTGCCCCCCTCGAAAACAAAATCGACGGGTCTGAGCGTTTTTCAAAAAAAAAACTGAGCTGCCAGTAAATGCGTCTGTTTCGTTTTCGATGCGCCACCATGTATTTGCAAAACACTGAGAGGCCTGACTCCAAGATTCAGTCTTCTGAAATATTTCCTGAGCAAATATTGCTTAAAGATATTGTACACAGCATTGCTCCAATCACAGCTGTCTTTTGGAATCATCGTATGGGGTGGAAGGACTAACACATATTTGATGGAAAATAATATATGAGAGAACAATAACATATCACACGAAACTTCTATTCTTGATATACCTATAATAAATCTACTGTTCTACTATCCTAAAGAATATCTATGCAGGAAAAATTAAATTGTAAAGTATATGCCATGTTTACCAAACACGTCACAAACAATAGTGTTATGAGATCCCTCGAAGAAATAAATCTGTAGGACAGATTTACTTTGTTTATCTTGCACCAAAATTAAACAATATCCTACCTCTAAATAGAATAACGTTAGTGTCGAGATTAAAAACTCAAATAAAGAAATGGGTGGTGGATAGTGGTAGAACGTTTTTCAATAACTTCTGAATAATATTTCAGAAATCGTGTAATGCAATATTGTAGTAAGTATAGGCAATGAGAAGATACCCAATATGGACTCAACAAAGTATTATTAATTATCGCAGGCAATTAACTCCCATAAAGACAAACCACTGATTTGGACGAATATCCCGATTTGGACAAAAAATGCTGAATTGTAAACAAAAAAATGACACACAAGCTATAAATGCATCTTCGGTGGATACTTATGTGTGATCTGATATTGATTTTATTTTTACAATGTACACAGATATGTTTGTCACAAATAAACACATATCATTATTGTTTAAATATCAAAACTTTGCATATTAATTGGATGAAACCATTCTTTAAGCAGTCTTGATCAACACAATATTTATTGTTTTTTCTGATATATGTATGAATAAGCTTACAAGCTAGCACTAATTTGTTTTGGTGGAAACAAAATAAAACGGTTTGTCCTCGAATTAACAACATACACGGAGCGCGCAGTTCGAAGTTTCCAGAGTTCATAAGTATCGCTCTTAATTTTTATTTGGTACTATGATCAAACCAAAACACCAAGTTTTGGATATGCTAATACACTTCTAGATGCTGCTACCGGATGGTGCATTCAGGCGTCAAATACGACAGGGAACCATTAGGTTGGAGAGAAAGCTTTACCCAAATTATCGATACTTGAAAATATGTATTTGGGGCACATTATCTAGCCATTTACCCGTATTTTCATCACCTCGCACCAACATTTTTGATTTGTTTTAATGTCGCATGCGGAGAACTACAACGTAATATACAGGGTGGCGCATCGAAAACGAAACAGACGCATTTACTGGCAGCTCAGTTTTTTTTTTGGAAAAACGCTCAGACCCGTCGATTTTGTTTTCAAGGGGGACACAAGTCTGGCAAAAAATGACGTTAACACGTGCAGCTCCCTGGGCGGGGGTGACACCAACCCTAAAATCTTAAATGGAAAAGGGGGTCGAGTGATACCTTATTTTAAAGGTCTTTCAATTCCCTTATAATGATGTAAAATACATGAGCTTCAGTTCAGTTGTTTTGAAGATTTATTGATTTAAAACTTAAAGTAAACTTTAATAGGTACAACAGATTAGTTTGTACTACTTTCAGAAGAAATTTGACTAAAGGAATTTACTTAATAAGTAAATGCTTTTCTTCACTACGCCCATGGTTTGTTTATCATTTTGTTGTTGAAAATAGCTATTGGAGCGTTTTTTTGTGGCAAAAAAGTTATTTCTTGAAGAAAGATAAGCAAATATCTCGTACTTATTTTAAATAGGAATTTAGTACATAGTTTGCGATTGATTTGACCAAACTTTGTTGCTAAAATAACTTGTAACGCTTTATTACATACATTAACCATGGTATATTCCACAGCAGAAAGAGCTGAAAATATCGAAATATTTTTCGGAGATAATCAGTGCGCTAATAGAACAGCAGAAATATTTAATGAGCGACATGAGAACAGTAACGTGCATCGAAAATATGTTCTAGAACTTGTAGGTAAATTTCGGGAAACTGGGTCAGTCGCCAATAAAAAACGCAACATTGCAAATCCCATAAGGAACGAAGCAATAGAAGTGGGGGTTTTAGGGCAAGTTTATGAAGGTCCTACGTTAAGTACCCGCAAATTGGAGACTGTGTGTGGTGTTAGTCGACGTACTGTCCAACGGATTCTAAAGGCCCATAGTTTTCATCCGTATAAAATTCACCTGGTACAAGAACTTAATGAAGACGATTATGATCGGCGATTACAATTTTGTGAAGATATGAGTGAACGAATTATAAACGACGAACATTTTCTATTCAACACTTGCTTTTCCGACGGATGTTCCTTTTTCTTAAATGGCGTAGTAAATCGTCATAACTGCCGATATTGGTCCGATTCTAATCCCAGAATTTATCATGAGGTTCATACACAGCAGCCACAAAAATTAAATGTTTGGACTGGTATTTTTGGCGATCATTTAGTTGGTCCTTTTTTCTTACCTGGAAGTTTGACCGGTGAAATGTATTTGGAATACTGGAAGACGCCATAGATCCCGCAGTAACAGCCATAATTGAAAATCAGAATGATCGGCGGTACATTGCGAATAGGTTGATGTTCCAACAGGATGGTGTCCCACCACATTACGCATTACGTGTTCGACAATATTTAGATCAGACGTTACCAGATCGATGGATTGGTAGAAGAGGTGCCATTGAATGGCCTCAAGATCGCCAGATTTATCACCTTTGGATTTCTTTATGTGAGGTCATTTAAAAAGCAAAATCTATGCTACTCAGCCAACATCATTAGAAGACCTGCGACAAAGAATTGCCAACGAGTGCCTTCAAATTACTCCTCAAATATTGCAAAATGTGCGGCAACGTTTTGAGCAAAATCTTTATTATTGCATGGAGAGTCATGGTGGCCATTTTCAACATTTACTTGCCTAACGAGTCAGTTCATTCTTCATTTTTAAATTACTTTGCTGCCAAATGTATTGATCTCCACAAATGATTTTGTATTAGTTTTATTTAATCTTTAAATCAATAAATCTTCAAAACTACTGAACTGAAGTACATTAATTTTATATCATTATAAAGGGAATTGAAAGACCTTTAAAATAAGGTATCACTCGACCCCCCCTTTCCATTTAAGATTTTGGGGGTGGTTATTATTATTATTATGTGCGTATTCTCAAGAGAAACACAATTTACAAAAGCATTACCTTTTATGAGATGCTTGCGTAGAATTAGACAATAAACCAGAAGTGATTTGCATTAGCAAACGAAAATTGCTGGGAGTCACTCTTCATGAGAGGGTTCGATCACGTACTTTTTTACCACAAAAAAAAATTGCCTATCTTTCGTTCAGAGGCAGTGTGGCCCACACCAAACCTAAACCTAGCTCATTTGTTTTGCACTCTATGAACAATCTTGATGGTCAATACTCGACTCAATTGAGACCATACTAAACTACCTTTCTGAGTTTTTGAATGTAAGTCGAGTTTTTCGTGAGGCAGTATGACAAATTAAAAAAAATATTGAGATTTAAAAGAATTTTTCCTCCACCCTAATAATTCAATACATTTTTCGCAATTATTTTGTGGTACTTGAAATAAATATTGAGAAAATAATATGTTGCGTATATTTCAATGGGCGAAAAAAACTTACCCACCTCGTTTGAATTGAGGAAATGTTGCCCAATTTCAGTGATTACACTCGCCGTGAGAAATGTAACAATCTGATACTGGCAACATTTGGTGACCTCACGTTGAAGATGAATATATTGCCGGTTCCGAACACATAAGTTCTGTGTTCAAACCATGCGTTGTTCAGAACGTTTTAACCGTGACGAATGAGTGTTCAATTATATATCCTCAAGAGTTTTCTTATTGATATGTTTTCAGAGTACGGATGAAAAGGAGTTAGAGACAGCCTTGAACGCAGCTTTAGAAATCGGCTACCGCCACATCGACACCGCCTACGTCTACGAAAACGAAAAGATCATCGGAAGGGTGATAGAACAGTGGATTTCTGCTGGGAAGATCAAAAGGGATGATCTCTACATCACCACCAAATTGGCGCTATGCGGCGTACATCCAGACAGGGTCGAAATGATGTTGAAGAAATCACTGGAAGGATTGCGTTTGAACTACGTTGATTTATATTTAGTGCATTTCCCAGTGGGCACAAACTACGTGGAGGGATGTGTAGTTACTCCACCGTCTATGCTGAAATTGGAGAATACTGATCACGTGGAACTGTGGAAGGTAACTACTTTACACCAAAACACGATCTCTTAATAGTTCTCATGCCTACTTTCGAGAAAGTGTTTTAATCGCGAAAGATTTAGAAAATGAGATATTACATTTTTTTATATGTCGCTCTGTCCGCCTGTCAGTCTGTCAGTCTGTCTGTCTGTCTGTCTATATGTCTGTCTATCTGTCGGTCAGTCAGTCAGTGTGTCTGTCCGCTAATCCTTGGCCCGTCTATATCTTGGAAAGTGCTTCGGATTTGGATGAAATTTTCACAAAGAAAACGAAAAAGAAAAATTTAAATCACTCAAGCTTCATGTTTTGATGTTTCAGAGGATCGTGATCATTTATGAGAACATGCTTAGGGTTAAACAATTTGGGGGTGAGGGGTTGTCGGTAGACGGGAGGGAACAATTATGCGACAGTATATACAGGGTCTCCCGAACAAAGTGTGCAATATTCTACCAGCGGTTTCTAGCGCTTAAAATAGGAAGAAAAGTTTATGTAAACATGAGTCGACAAACGTCCCCTAAGGGCGCTACGGTCTTTTACAGGGGCTCCCCTGAAGATGGTTTTTCTTTAATATTTCCGAAACGTGTTGAGATAAAAAAATTGGTATTCTAGCCTAGTTTTTTATGCTGGATCTAAAAATATTAACAATTTTAGACAGTTTTGTGTGATTCTATTTTTGAAATTCAATTTTAGAATTTGAAAATGTAGGGTTTTCCACATAAAAAAGGTACTCTTATTGAATATCGATAAATTGTGCCATTTTTGGATAAAATCAAACTAAAAAATTTGTCACATGATAGGAAATGTACTGCGAATTTAAATGAAAAGGTTGATTATACATAGTTAGCCATGACTGCAAACAAAAGTTGTTTTGATTTGTTATGACTTATTTTCACGTTAAGCTGACATTGTTAGCAGTGTAAAATTACTAGATTAAAATCAAATTTTTTATTAAATCGATTTAAAATGCCAAGATTTACAGACAGAGAGCTGACTGACATGCATTTTGTGTACGGGTTTTGTAATGGCAGTTCATTGGCAGCCGTAAGAGAATATCAAAGAAGATTTCCCAATCGCATAGTACCTGGACGTCGAATGTTTACTGATATTCACCGGAATTTGTCAAACCATGGAAGTTTTCAGCGCATATAGGGCTCAGGAAGGCCACTGGGAAATCATCGCATGGATATTGCTTTAAATATCTTTGAAAATAATCCGCAAATAAGCATACGAAATGTTTCAGAAAATATGGATATACCTCAATAGTAAAAAAATTGTGAATACCTATTTGATAGTTATCCTAAAAATAACAATTTTAGATAGGAAGCATGACAATAATGCAAGGATTACATCCTTATCATTTTAAACGGGTGCAGCATGTAACGGAGGCAGATTTTTTACCACGAATCGAGTTTTGCCAGTGGATATTAGCAAATGAAAACACTATTCCTAGAATATTATGGTCGGACGAGTCAATATTTACTAGGAATGGTGCTTTTAATTTCCATAAAATTCATCACTGGTCAGATGAAAATCCAAAATTTGTTCGTCGTACAAATTTCCAATATAGATTTTCATTGAACTTATGGGCAGGAGTAATTGGGGATCAAGTAATTGGGCCTATTGTACTTCCCAATCGTCTTAATTCAGAGGTGTATCTGAACTTTCTTCAGAATGAGCTCATGGATATAATACCATTGGATGTGTGCCAGCAGTTTCAAGAAAATATGTTTTTTCAACATGATGGCTCCTCTTCACATTTTGGACGCAATGCTCGAAATTGGTTGAATATCAATTTTCCAGACAGGTGGTTAGGCCGAGGAGGTCCTATAGCCTGGCCGCCACGTTCACCTGACCTAAATCCATTGGATTTCTATTTTTGGGGGTCATTAAAAGACCTAGTTTACTCGACTGAAGTAAATACTCAAGAAGATTTACTTCAAAGAATCCATCAGGCTGCAAATGAAATAAGAAGAAAAAAGTTTTCCACTTTTCGGGCTACGCAATCATTAGTTCGTCGAGCGAGACAAAATGAAAATTTATGTGAACACTTATTGTAAAGCTATTTTTAAGTATATCCAACTGCATGTCTTCTTTTTTAAACAAATTTCAATTTCGTTCGTAGAAAAAAATTATTTCTTTTGTTTTTACCTAAATGTTGCAATAGAAATATGTATTTATGTAATATTTACCAATTATTAAATTAGTTTTTTTGTTGCCATGGCTAATTATTCAACAATTCATTTAAATTCGCAGTACATTCCCTATCATGTGACCTATTTTTTAGTTTGATTTTATTCAAAAACAACACAATTCATCGATATTTAATAAGAGTACCTTTTTTATGTAGAAAACCCTAAATTTTAAAATTCTAAAATTGAATTTCAAAAATAGAATCACACAAAAAATTTGGGGCTCAAATAACCTGAGTCCGTCCCTGTTACATACGCTTCCAAACAAAACTGCCTAAAATTGTTAATATTTTTAAATCCAGTATAAAAATCTAGGCTAGAACACCAAATGTCATGTCTTTATCTCAACACGTTTCGGAAATATTAAGGAAAAACCATCTTCAGGGGAGCCCCTTTAAAAGACCGTAGCGCCCTTAGGGGACGTTTGTCGACCTATGTTTATATAAACTTTTCTTCCTATTTTAAGCTCTAGAAACCGCTGGTAGAATATTGCACCCTTTTTTCGGGACACCCTGTATACATTACATATGCATACAGCCGTCATACTGGATCCGCCATTTAGATTTTTTCATGAATCAATACTCAATTCATTATCAGCGTGACCATTTCTGAAAACAGATTCAAATCGGCTTTCGATGCTGCGTAAATTATTTTTACAGAAACACCGGAATGTAGCTCCGGTCAGTTAAATATTGCACAAACGAATATGAACAGTTTGACAAAAAATGAATCGGTAAAATATTTCAATCCTTCTGTATAACTTTTAATCACGCAAAGTATTAATATTTATAATCACAAAATCAAACAGCTCCTTCTTGACATTGGTAGATAGATAGATAGACATTTATTTCCATGTGCACCCAATAACATTAAATGCGTAAAATCAAATGAACATTTCGTTTTATGTAAAAGAAAAAATATAACTAATGTTATATAAAAATAAACACTTGAATAATATAAAAAAGATATTTCGAAAAAGTTACATATTAAATGTGATCTGCATAATAGAACTATAAACTAGCGAGATAGGGGAAAAATTGATGTCACAGCTGTTACATATCGAATTAAAATTGTTACAAATTGCATATATTTCAAAAATTTTCTCTGAACACGTTCTTTCTTACTAATGTGTGTTGCGCAATGTGGGTACCAAATCAAGATACCATACTGCAACTTGCTACGTACATAACTTATATATAGAATATTTAGTACTGAAATGGTGGTGCAAACTGCGTCATTGATAATACTGTATCTAACCACAGCACCGTACTTCTTGAACTGTATATTTTCTCCACTGATGGTGATTCAGGATACGAAATCTGTTATTCACGTAGATACGATGCAAATGCGGTGAATAACTTTATGTTAATTTAATATCTAAGAATTGGTTGGAAGTTTATAATAACTCATTCTTTGTGGATACAGCGTTCATACCCTTTCTTGATATATTTTTACCTCGTCCTAAAATTAATTTTCCACTTTTGAAATGGTTTAAAAAATTGAATACAAATGGGTGAACAATGAAGCAGTAATATGAAACAGAAATCTGAAAAGCTTATTTGGCTTAACAAAAATATTCACAGAAGCCAAATCGGAATATCTTTGAGCCAAGAAATTGCATCAAGATAACTTACTATCAATAAACAATTTTCCAATCGCGAAACCTCAGTAAGGCGACTTGGAAACAGTTTCTGAAATAGTTCAAAAAGAAAAAACAATACTTCTTAAAAGTAGATGAAGCTGTTATAACTGATCCATTGGATATAACAAATCATGTCAGTGCATACACCAAAAATATAACATCGCAGCTCATTAAAACAACAGTATATCTGTGCAAGTTTGAAAAATCACATGATACACCGAACGAAATGTTTCTATATTCGTTCAACAAAGATAAACTCAAGAGTAAGAATTCAGCTGGTCCAGATGAAATTCCTGGATTTCTCTTGAAACATGCGTTCAGTATTATTAGTAAACCCCTAGTACATTCGATTAATTTGTCTTTTTGCTTAAAGAAATTTCATAAGTTCTGAAGTATCGAAAAGTGGTACCGGTTTACAAAAAAGGAGATCCATCGGACATCGGGAATTTCTGGCCGATAACGGTACCGTTTGGCTTCTCAAAACTGGAGTATTACTACGCCAGTCGCTTACTGGTGTTTTTTGAGAAGACAAATAATTGATATCATCTCGCTGAACCAACACAGAAAGTCAGCAACAACAGCAATCAATTCGTTCTATAAACGATTGATTTCATTCATTGAGGCATGAGTGTGTCCGGTTGGGGTATCTTGCAACTTAAATAAAGTCTTTGACTGTGTCAACCATAACATTCTGTTGCAAAAGCTCTCTGCATCTGGTGTGAATGGCGGTCCTTATAGGTGACTCAACTCATACCTTGCTGATAGGAAACAATAAGTTTCTCTACTACATAAAGGTGAGCAAATGTTACATCTAGTCCAATCCAGTCAAGTCACTGTTTATATTGGGATTCCTCAAGATTCCAGTTTAGGGCCTATTTTGTTTGTTCTCTATATCAATGAGACTGAGTCAGTATGTGAGGATGGACTGTTTATAACGGGTGTTTTTTTCGAGGTATAGAACTTTAAGTTGGCATTACTTTTGAAGATGGCGACTGATTTGACAGCTGTCAAGTGATTTATTCTCAGTTTGGTTTGGCAATTCATCATGAATAGACTCACGCCTGAACAACGCTTGCAAATTGTGCAGTTTTATTTCGAAAATAATGGTTCTGTGCAGATACGTATCGCGCACTACGTCCATTTTATCGTCGACGAAATCGTCCATCAGAGCAGTTAGTTCGATTAACCATGGAACGTTTTCGCACCACGTTTACTCTAATTGATAACTCGCATTACCAGAGACGCCGTACGGTGCGTACAGAAGAAGCTATTGCTACTGTAGAGTGTAGCATTGAGGAAGACCCGAATGAGTCCATCCGCCATCAAGCACAGGAATTGGATCTGTGTCCATCCACTTTATGGAAGATTTTGCGGAAGGATCTTGGTTTGCGTGCTTACAAAATCGAAATCGTGCAAGAATTGAAGCCAAGCGATCATCAAGCAAGGCGTAGATTCGTTGAATGGACCCAAAACGAGATTGCCGTTGTTCCCGATTTTCATAAGCGAATGTTGTTTAGCGATGAAGCGCACTTCTGGTTGAATGGCTACGTCAACAAACAAAACTGCCGCATTTGGAGTGAAACTAATATTCAAGTCTACGTCGAAATACCGTTGCATCCAGAAAAACTGACTGTTTGGTACGCTTTATGGGCTGGTGGAATCATTGGTCCGTACAGTCAATGGTGATCGGTATAGAGCCATGATTACTAACTTTAACATTCCTGAATTGAACAATCATGATGTCCGGAAGCTGTGGTTTCAACAAGACGGCGCAACATGTCACACAGCTCGTGCTACAATCGATTTATGGAAAGACACGTTTGGTGACCGCCTAATTTCACGTTTTGGACCTGTGAATTGGCCTCCAAGATCTTGTGATTTAACACCGCTAGACTATTTTCTGTGGGGCTATGTAAAGTCATTGGTCTTTGCGGATAAGCCACAAACGCTTGACCATTTGGAAGACAACATTCGCCACGTTATTGCCGATATACGGCCACAAATGTTGGAAAAAGTCATTGAAAATTGGACGTCCAGATTGGACTACATCCGAGCCAGAAATCATATTTAAAATTTAATTCCACAAGATTATCTTTCGAATAAAAAAAATGCATGTCAATCGAATAATCCATCGTTGTTTTATTGTAATTTAAAGTTCTATACCTCTAAAAAAACACCCTTTACTATATGCAGATGATGAATCAATTTATTATTTATTAGTCTCGAGCAAATTGGAAAATATCTTAAATGATAGATGCAATGAAGTAATTGCAAAGATCAGTGATCGGTTTTCCAAACATCAATGACCGACAAGACCAATTTAATTAGGTTTCACAAGCCACGAAAGAAGATAAATATCCCTGACGTTAAACATAAGAATGCGTCATTGAACTTCACCACTGATGTTGAGTTTCTGAGAATATTTCTAGATGATTAATATATCTATAAATTTTAGAGTAGATTGCGGCTACCTGGTTTCGCAACTTAACACTTTCTCTTATTTGCTTAAATACTAAAGCTTAGTTCTCTCTGGAAGTGAGCTGGTCGGAATATAAAGGGTACTATAAAAGTTTTGCAACATAACTTAACGAACGGACGCAGGACGCATGCTACTGCAGTTTGTGACATATCCATGAGTGCAAAGTAAGTAGCCGCCAGCAGCATGTCTGTTGATCTAGTGGTTCGTGCCAAAGAAACAAGTTTATCCTGAATAAACGAAAACTACCGCAATCAATTTTCGTATTAAAAAAGCCATACACCTACACTGCATATCATTGTACAATACTCTACCTCGACATCTGCGAGATATAGAGAGCTATAGTCGAAATCACGAAAGATGACGATTACGTCATCATTTTAGTCTGTAGAAAAGACAAACGACAGCGATTTATGAATATTTTTAATGAAGTTTCTGATATGTTACACAGAGACAAACAGAATTTTATTGTCTAAACAAACTGTATTGCTAAATTGCATGTATCCGAGTAAGATAGACGATGTTTTCATGTTGCATGATCGATCATATTTGAAAGATGAATAGTCAGGTTATGTTAAAGCAGGTTATGTTGTTTTCGAATAATACTTTGGTCTTTGGTATTCCTGTCTTAGGTATTCTACTCATAACTGTTTTTTTCAAAACAAAAACTCGCCACTAAAGTTATTATTAAGGTATCACTCAAAACCATGAAATAAAATGAAAATAAAAATAATCAGTGAAATAACCTAACTTCCCAAAATCATAATATAAATTTGTTGTCATTATGTTCCTGACATAGTGATTTTATCGACGAACGTCCATTGATTACTTCAGTACAATTTAGGGTATGACGTAATAGTCGTCTTTCCTGATTTTGAATATATATGGAATTTGGAAATAAGGGCTTCAAGTAAGGAATGTTTTTACTATATAAATTAATTTTTAAATTTTCAAAATCAGTAAGCATTAAGTAAGTCTTTATTCCATATGTTTTATGTAGTGTTTTTCGCCGAGTTGGCGTTATAAGTATTCCGTAATAAGACCAAATTTATTCTCAACAAAAAATGCAAACACTTGCCACGAGGCAGCGTAATAAAATACACGCCATTTTTTCTGCATTTAAAGTAGGAAATAAATCGCCAAATATACTTGGTCCTAAAATCTTTAACATCTTTCCAGAGGATATACAAGGAATAGCAAATCAAAATCACTTAAAGTATTGTTTGCAAGGTTTTTTTAATACATTAATGTTTGCATTATGTCTGGGCGTTTATCAGTGTACAAATGTTGTTTTTTATCTTTTTTCTTTATCGTTTTGTTATCTCTGTATAGAACTGCTCTCTTGACTATTTCTATTTCTGAAGAAAAATAAATTATTATTATTATTATTACTAGGACCGCCAGTCCTATTTTTCAACAACTGATATCAAATTCGTTATTAGCGACCCTGAAAACATCTGAAATTTAAATTTGAGAAGAAACGTTTTTTGCAAATGTGTACAACAAATTAAATCCGCTATTTTGGCCTTTGACAAATGAATATCATCCTAGTTATCAGCGATCTGGAAAACGCAAAAATGGATTTTTCAGTAAAATTTAGTGAATATTTCTACTTTTGGCCATGTTTTAGGATCTTTGAACCACTGTGGCGTCGATCGTGTGCGAGCTTAATTATAAATCTTAATGCGTGCCAAATCATTTTTCGCATGGTATATTCAACCATTAACTATTATTATGTCTACTTTTGGAATATTAGTGAATTCGGTACGCAGAAAAACTTCTTCCATTTTATTGATTGTATATCTGTAATATCGCACAGCAAGATACAAACAATAAACTGCGACAGGTCAGCTTGAACGCTAACTATAAATGCGATCTGCAAGGGCCGTCGCGTCGTCCGGCCGCGATAGTGCCGTGGCCAAGAAGCCGTGTCATGTGACGTCACGACCGAACCTCGACACAGAAAATGCCATAACTTCCTTAAACTTCAAGTTATTCGAATAATTCTTTCAGATTTGTGAAAGATACCAGGTATACTATAATATGAAAGAGAAACTAGCAACATTTTTGATTATAGTTAACTTCCTAATTGTTGATGCGCAAGCTCTGCGTAAAGTGGGTGCGGCATATGGTGAATGCCGATCAAAAGGGACCGCGGGAATGGCTTTCGCAGCAATGTTTAGGTCAATTCGCTAGGGATCCGACCGACTTCGTGCATCGGCTCCATTACTACACGCGAGAAACAAATAAAAACAGTCATGCGAACACGGTAGGTTCAGTGCCAAAGAAAGCGAAGTCGATTGCTTCCGCCGGAAGGGTCATGATCAATGAGTTTTGGGATGCATAGGACATTCTGCTAATTATTGATTACCTTGAAAAGGGTGTAATAATTACGAACGAATACGATTGCAACGTCCTAAATTGAATGGATGTCAATATTCGTAGGGAGAGGCCAAGGGCAACCTCCGGGCGACTGCTCGGGGCGTAACGATCCAGGGGCGCCAGATCACAAATAGCATTTTAAAACAAAATTTAATTCTCTTTTTTAATTTACACAAAATTTCGCAATAATTCAATCAGAAAGGGTGACATTGATCAATACAAGGTATTATAATAAATCTGGAATATCAGAATCAAGGTTCTAGTAATATTGAACATGAAAAAACAATTTAAGCCCGCGATAGTTGCAGGATTTTATTTGTGACGTTTCGGTCTATTTTTATGTTTTCTGTTTCTTGTTATGACATTGAGCTACTATGGAAAGCGCCAAAAATTGGGCATGAAATAAGCAACAAATTTGTCTTGAAGTCAGTTATACGCGAATTTGCTGGAATGGAAATTAAAAAAGGTGATTTTGGTTTTCTCAGTTAATAATAATACTCAGGTTATTGTTCCTTTCTTGTATAGCCTTCATAGAGATCTGTTCATTATACGTATTAGAGACAAAAATCGTTCTTTGATAATTAAGCTGCTGAACCGTTTCAGTTTTCGATAAATTGTGTTTTTCGCATGGATTTTTGATTAATTTTGTTTTCATTTATGAATTTCAAAACTGCTGAATCATATTTTTCTGTAATGATAATAAAAATAATAATAATAATGTGTCTTCATTTGTTAAGAGAGGCGGCATTCAACACCGTTGCTCTTCCATGCCACCCCCGTACATAATACTAAAAGGATAACCTAACAATTACAGATTAATAATAGTTGTAATTGATACCAACAGCAAAACTAAAACTATTGTAGTCCTTTCACATGGGATTTGACTCTATCTCGAAAGCTACTAAATAAGGGCGAATTTTTCAGCTATACCTGGCAATGAATAGTGTAAATGCAACATAAGTTTTAAACTGTTCAGTACTATGGAACGGAACATCATATATGTATGTAGATTACAAGTAAGAGTTTGTCTATCATGACGAAGGGATCCCTAATATGTTTGGTATAGAGGAAAAGGGGTACGAGGGATGTCCTTTAGGTTTTGCATATGGAAATAAAACAACACGGTAGGTAGTTTTAAATGATTTTATTGTTTTTCGAAGTATTCTACACGAAGATTAATACACATCTGCATGCGCTCGAACCAATTTTCGAAGCACGTATTCCACTCGTTTGCTGGCATAGCCAAAACGGCATTTTTGAATGCGTCAACTGCTTCTTCAGGTGACTGGACCCTTTGACCACGCAGTCTGTCTTTAATTTTCGGGGAAGTAAAGAAATCGTTAGGACTTAGATCGGGACTATATGGAGGATGGTCCAATAATTCCATGTTTTCTTCCGTTAAATACTACCTTGTTTTTTTGGCTGTGTTCGAGCTTGCATTGTCTTGGTGGAGGATGAATCTTCTTTCGGGGTTGATTTTTCGAAGCTCGGTGATGATTTTTGGCAAACAAATGGTGGTATACCAATCCGCAGTAATAGTTCTTTGCTCATTAAGAGGAATTGTTGCAATATGACCCGCTTTTGACACAAATGTCGCGACCATCTTTTTCCACTTCGAGAACGGATGACTTTTGTTGGCTTTTCTTCACCTTGGAACACCCGAACAGCCGACTGTCATTTATTTGCTGGTTCATAATAGTAAATCCACGATTCATCACCACTAACAATGCTGTACACATTTTTTGAGTTTCTGGAATTGAAACGGTCAAGCGTTTTTTGACACCAATTAACCCTGGCTGCTTTCTGCTCTTCAGTCAACAAGTGGTGTATCCAACGAGAAACTAATTTTCTTACTCCTGATTCTTCATGTAAAATTTTTTGAATTGAGGTCTTTGAGACCTTCAAGGACGCCTCAATCCCGTGATATGTCACATATCTATCTTCAATGATGAGTTTGTGCACAGCATCGAAGTTTTCCTGGGTGATTGCCGTGTTTAGTGCACCCACCCTGGGATCGTCGCTAAGACTCACCCGTCCACGTTTGAATTCTCCATATCAACAGGAAATTGTCGACTGATGTGGCGCTTCGTTGCCGAAAACAGACAGTAACTCAGCAAGGCATTCTTGTTGTGATAATTGTCTCTGAAAGTTGTAATAAATTCTTTCGCTTTTTTGTTTCCGATGCGATGAACCGATACGGCGGATTATATCCGTTGTCGCCAAACACGACCACATAATATTATTATTGAGACAGGGCGGTACTCAAACTTCCAAAGGGCTATAACTTTGTTACTTTAATTTTACCAGGAAAATGGTAAAGGAAAAAAACATTTCTTTTGATCAGATCTACTCACTGTTAAAATAAATGACTCAACTTCGAAGTCACCCTGTATATATATATATATATATATATATATATTTGTATTTCCTTCCAACGGTTCTTCTTTAATCACAACAGACCTAACCCTATTGAAATTCTTGATGGGGGAGCTAAATTTCAATTTTGCCCGGGGAGCCGAAATCTCTAGACCCGGACCTGAAGAGGCCTGGCTTGATGCAACAAAATATCATTTTTCGTCAGACAACGTATCTGCTAACAAAGGTGTTCTAGCAATGGAAAAACTGGGAGATTTGGATTATTATCATTACCATTACCCCGATTTGAATGACTTAGTACTTTAAAATTTCCGTCAGTTTCCAAATTTGAAATTTTTTTTCCTGGAAAGCGCTTCGGGATCAATAGAGAAGTTGGGAGGGTCGGAGATGAAGATATCAGAGATCCCCCTACCAAGAAGAAATCCTAATTGGGCCAAGTGTGTTGAAATTGTAAGGGACTATGTATAAAAATAAAATTATTTTTTAACTGGAACTTTCATTGCTCGACCTTACCTTCGTAAATGTCTGATCCTCCTATTCTATTCTAGAAAATGGAAGAGCAAGTAGATGCCGGTAGAACCAAAGCCATTGGACTGTCCAACTTCAACAAAAAACAAATAGAAAGGATACTGAAATCGTGCAGGATAAAACCAGCTTGTTTGCAAATAGAAATCCACGTTGCCATGCAGCAAAGAGAATTGGTAGATTTTTGTCACAAAAACGGTATCGTCGTTGTGGCATATTCTCCTCTAGGATCACCGGGATATAATAATTTCCTTAACACCATTGAACAAGAGTAAGTATCGTTTGAAAGTTACGTCAATGTTTAAATAGACTTATTTTGGACGAGACACTATTTCGGGAGACACAGCTCATTGAAAGATATGTTAGGGCGCCATGATATCCGATACTATCTAAATTAAGATCAACAGGAGGTTAATAACGCTTAGTTAAACGTCGAGGGGTCATTCCTTAGAGTACGTTACACAAAATGTGAGGCCTTTGTAGAGACACTGATGATTTTAAGTCACTTTTTTTCTATTCAAACCGGTATGGAAGTCTGATAAACTGTTACAGGCAGCAATTTTAGAAACTAAACTTTAGTAAATTGTAGCGAAAACACCATATTTACTTTTTAAATTCTAATTTATTACTCTTATACTAATAATTTATAATAAGGCTTGCAACTAATTTATGACAAAAATGTAACCATTCGTTCTGCGCTGTCAACTTCTCGACTCCTTACGGTGGCGTAATCCTGGTTGCCCAAGCGTCGATGTATCGAGGGCCTCTCATCGGTACGCCAAAGTTCTAGTTTACGAGGGCGCTACCATATGAACCGCCTTGCTGAGATAAATGAACCAAAAAAATCTGACGATCTCCATCAATAGTTTCTCAAGTTGATCGTCATCAACCCGTATGATAAAAGATGATGGAAAATTCATAAGTTACCGGCTTATAACTTCTTGACGCTCTAGCTGTGTTCGGGACTGCGAGACCTATATCGTATTGATGAGTTGCGGTTGGTCGTGGTAACAGAGACGAAAAGCATTCGGGATTGATTTTTCGAAGCCCGGTGATGACTTTTGGCAAACAAATGGTGGTATATCAATCCGCAGTAACAGTTTTTTGCTCATTAAGAGGAATTGTTGCAATATGACCCGCTTTTGACACAATGTCGAAACAGCTCGAGAACGGATGACTTTTGTTGGCTTTTCTTCACCTTGGAACACCCAAACAGCCGACTGTCGATTATTTTCTGGTTCATAACAGTAAATCCACGATTCATCACCACTAGCAATGCTGTATACATTTTTTGAGTTTCCGGAACTGAAACGGTCAAGCGTTTTTTGACACTAATTAACCCCGGCTGCTTTCTGCTCTTAGTCTACAGGTGGGGTATCCAACGAGAAATTAATTTTCTTACTCCTAATTCTTCATGTAAAATTTTTGGAATTGAGGTCTTTGGGATCTTCAAGGACGCCTCAATCTCGCGATATGTCACATGTCTATCTTCAATGATGAGTTTGCGCACAGCATCGACGTTTTCCTGGGTGACTGCCGTTTTTGGTGCACCCACCCTGGGATCGTCGCTAAGACTCACCCGTCCAAGTTTGAATTCTCCATACCAACGGGAAATTGTCGACTGATGTGGCGCTTTTTTGCCGAAAACAGACAGTAACTCAGCAAGGCATTCTTGTTGCGATAATTGTCTCTGAAAGTTGTAATAAATTATAGCGCGAAAATGTTCTCGGTTGAGTTCCATTTTTATAATGACTTGGTGACACTTAAAAATTCACTGTAGTGAGAACACTGCACGTTTTGTTGTGAAACTTTGAACTTTAGTTTACTAAAGAGTGAGGTTAAGATTCAGTACTGACGTTTGATCGGCGTGGCATACTATGTTTCTATATGCAAAACTTAAAGGACATGCATCGTATCCTTGCATATTATGCATAATTTATATTGATGTCTCCGAAGTTGTTGATTGATTGATAGATCGAAGATGTCTAAATTTATAAACTTGTAATGTCTGTTTATTATCTTAAGTGTTTCTATAAGGTCGCCCGTAGTGCTCTTTGTGCTAGGCTAGTAGCTTTTCAAGTCTTGTTTCATGTGGAAAATGTCTTACTTCAATGCTGATTTAGTTTAGTTCTCTGAACCCACTCAAGTACTTCTTTGTCTTCTGCACACCCTAAACGGCAGTAACGTGTAAAAACCGAAGCATGAGAAAATTGAGTTCAAAATTCTGGATTCTTTCAAACTAATTCAATAGTATTATTAAGACAGAACTAAAGTGAATAAATATTGCAAAGTTACATGATTTTATAGAAACTCATTTAAATGTGATTTCCAATCATAAATTTAACCCCTTTTTTGTGTATACTTCAGGTTTTTATTTCTGGTTTAATGTAACTCTTTATGGATCAAGTTTTGTGCTTGTAAGGTATAACGGTAAGGTCTAGGTGAATAATTAATAAGATAAATAATATAAAGCCATTTATTATTATTATTAGCTGTTATCGAGGTCTAATATAAATGACATTCCATATTTAATTGTCGTAAATCAAAAGCAGTAACATGTAATTTACTGTTTATATACTCCGCAAAAACAAATTTACTGTCTTTTTTCATAATAATAATATTCTATTACGCTTTCAAAGAAAAAACGCAGAAATACCGAATTATATATTTTTTTAAAATATAATTTATTCATATTGAAATACACAAATAGTACAAAAGTAATTATTTTCAAAATCTAATAATTCAATTTATTAATTATTTACTTACATTTAATCCTTAAAACTGATTATTTATATAAATTGAGAACATCATGTTAAGTTAAACTTTTTTTTTTCAAAATTGTTCTTGTGGAGCAAAAGTAATTATTTATAACGATAAATACACAAATAATAAAATTATTACATAAAAAATCAGTAAACATCATAATAGATTAAGAAGGGTATAAAGGCAGCACTTGCATCATACAGAGAATAAAATTAGTATAGTTTGAAAACTGCTTTTTTAATTTGATAAACTGATTTACTGCTTTTATGCTTTGGAAATGCAATCAATATGAGATATTTGACAAAGTGAAATTATAACTATTTTTGTTAAATTTCTTGATTAAAGATATACTTAGTAATTGTAATAATAAAAAAATGTATTGGCGTCAAAATTTAAAAAAGACAGTAAATAGGCTTTACTGCATTTTACCTAAGTACGGCAGAATAGGTATTATGCGAAAAATAAATGTGACACTGAAATTGACAGTGTCCGGTTAAAAGAAGCCGAACAAGGTCAATCACCACATAGGCGTCCCATCGTCAGAGGAGTACCTACTCTAGTGTCCACCCTGCTCCCTGCATTCACTTACTATACAAGTGTTGCAGCCTGTGTAGGTATAGGTCTTATGTACTTCTTGTACATTTTGGAAACTATTTCAGTACTCGAGAAAACAGAAAAATTTGATTTTTGGCCTTTCTGGTTGGCTTGTGTGATTATTAGAAAATTCGTACGACTGATTATCAACACACAACCACGAATTGTAGTCAGTAGAAAACATTTGCTGAATTTTGATTTGAAATTGCAGAGGCAAGGAACTACCGAACATGCTCCAAAATCCAGTCATCAAACAAATAGCAGAAAAATATAAAAAGTCTCCTGGTCAAGTCATGTTAAGGTTTCTTATTGAAAGAAACATTGTCCCGATACCTAAAAGTGTTAAGCCTTCGAGAATCAGGGAAAACTTCGAGGTCTTCGATTTCAAACTCGACAATGAGGATATGAAGAAGCTTGCAGATTTAGAAATTGGTGAATCGGCGAGAGTTTGCGACTTCAAATTCTTCCCTCCGTAAGTAACTCCGATATTTTCAACTATGAGTTCTTTCGGATAAGACCTAAATTTATACAGGGCGTTACAGGATATTCACACAATGTTACTACTATTCAAAGGACGCAAACACTATAGTTTTTTAAATTCGGTTCAGTGGCGGCGGAGAAAAAGGCCAAAAACAAAAAAAAAAGCTCAAAATTCGTTTTTTTGATATCTCAATCTTGATCATTTTCGGAAAAAAAGAAATTGTAGGGTTTAAAAATTGGGGTTGGAGGATGCAAGGGATAGGGGAAGGCATATTTCAATTTTTTGACGTTGGTATATGTATACGCCTCAAACCCCAGTAATTCTACTCGTATATTAGGCATATTTCACTCATTATAGATGTCCCTGTAAGTTTGCACTTAAAACTTAGAAATATCTCCTGCAGTCGGGCTTCGATTCGATACGTGCGTCGTCGTTTCCCGATGGACGAGTGTCGTCATCGGTGGTCATACGTCACAGTCGGCAGTCGCTTTCTCACTGTTGTGGGCTGCGTGCACTGTGTATGGTGAAGGCCAATATCGTCGTTCACGCGGCATTGGTCATTCCAAGGATCATGTGCGTCTGCGGCAATTCCTCTCAGGGAGAGGATGAAAGTCATTTATATTTTTGTTATACAGAAGTATACATTTACGAAATGATGACAGCGTAGCGTGAGAAGTACTGAGTCAACTTACTTGATGTAATTTTTCTTTTTATCAAGTTGTTTCACTCCTGGTATGACCTGTATTCTCGTTCAGTACCCCCTTTCATACGTTTTCACTATTTTTCCATTACAGTTACCCCCGAACATAATTCGATTTCCACCATATTGCGTGGATTATAAACGAGCATATGATATTTTCACCAGTTGAACTTTTTTGCTAGTCTATTATTTTTTTTTCAGACTATTGGACCATCCAGAGTTCCCGTTCGGAAAGTAATGGAAATGTTATACAGATCCTACGATGTTCATGTATTATAAATTGTATTTTTTATGTGTACTGTATTATTTCAATATAAGGATGTTTAAGCGCTAACTAGGCTTATATCTTGAAGAAGCTCAATATTGTCTAATTGTTGATAGAATTATTCGTTCTCGTGCGATGCAAGCACATATTTACAAGCAGTATTATTTCATAAAAATCTACGCAATGTGATTGAGGATGGGTTCGGGTAGTAAATAAGTATTTTCGACGACAAATCCATTCTAAATGCCACAAAAATTAAATTTCACTTTACAGAATAACATACAAAAGCAACCCTTGACTGCGTTGATATCTCTTTTCCATATGCATTTTCGATGAAAGTATTTATATTATACACGTGGGAATCCGGTTGGACTTTAAGATTTGCAGATTTACTCTGATTTTGTGTACAATTTCCCAATCCTCCCCCTTGGAAAAATTACTAGCCCCCGCTCTTCAAATAGTTTTGGAAGCAGGTACACTTTTACACAAAGTTATCTCTTCCCAATGATCAGCCCCACATGAGGAAAATTCCTTCGGGCGTTCATAGCCCTACATATTTATATTAAACATAAAACTATAGTCTGGTATCAACATTGAAGGCGGTGGCGAACTTGAAAGAAAACAGCGTCTACCACCCTTTGTCGGTATGGACGGGAGACCGGCAGTGGCGCGACAGTTAACATTTTAGAAGGGGTTTGACTTTTCTGTTGAAAGTAGATATGTGCAAATTTCATGTCTTAAGATTTCCAGTAAAGACAGTCCTCGCATGTTCTGATGTGTGACAGTTTACTCATTGATTTACCATGCTTTTTGGACATGTTCGATATTCTCTATGTCATAATCACACAATTATACGTCATTGAAGGTATGACTAATGGGAGAATTAAAATTTCTTACTAAACGTTATAGAATTTAGAGTTGATTAATACAAAGGAACATGTCATGGAACAATTACTACCAATTTATATCTAATCACTTCCACTATTGGGATTGAAAAACTTCATAAATATGAACTTAAAGTCTCATCAGTAATATCTAGAAACTCAAAAAAATCAACAAATATAGTCAGGAAATTGAAAAAATAAACTCTGATAACCCAAAAGTCAAACTCACAAAATTAATGAATAAACTATGAAATCACTGAATCGAATTCAGAAAATGAATAAATATTCTTGAAACAAAAAACAGTTAATAATCTGATGGTCAGTCAATAAATGCGGAAGTATAGTCACTTCTTGGGCTCGAATTGTCGGAATCGCTACTGTCACAGTCGTCGTTGCTACCGAAGTTGATGATTACTGGTTCTATAGCTTTTTCTATGTAGTGATCCAGTTCCCAAAACTTCTGTTCTTCTTTAATTACATGTAGTCTAATCATATTGGCAAATTGCCGTGAAATAATTGCAAAGTCTGGGTTTATTGGTGTTGTTCAAGGGGGTATTCAAAACGTGGACGCATAAAATGGGTACACCAATTCTTGTGGGAAAACTTTTGATTTGACAACAAAGAATGAGAAAAGATATTTTTCGGGATTCAATCTAAAGTGTTAACAGGAACGAAAAAACTTTTCGTAAAAGATTTTTAGGTATTTATGAGACCTACAAAATGAGACCACAGGTAAGAAGATCTGACTGATGGCAAAAATGTTATGACCGAAGAACGAGGCAAAATGCAGGTTTTGGCACTTGTTGGTAATGCGACGACAATTTCACGCAACTACTTAAAATTCTTCAAATCCGTAGGATTCCTACTTCTAAATAACAACAACAAAATTGGATTATATTGATCAAGCAGTTGTTTGAGACTTTCTAATCGTTTATCCCAAAACTCCTGTTTTCCGGCCATCACCACCAGTTTACTGTGCAATATATAGGATTCGTTCAAAGAGCATTTAATAGCAAAATACACGGGTTTACCTTGCCGATATGAATCACAAACGATTCCGAAAGGTAAATGTTATTTTTATGCGAAAAACAAGGGTTATATTTTTTCTTCTAAACATATTCAAACATTTCGTATTTATGAGTAATTGAACAACTGCGCGGCGATATTCGAAAAACATACGCTACTATACACATTTTAAAACAAAGCGGATGTGTCTTTTTTGCATAAAAATAACATTTATCTTCCGGAATGGTTTGCGATTCATATCGGCAAGGTAAACTAGAGTATTTTTCTATAAAATGCTTTTTGAACTAACCCTGTATATTACTCAGTAAACTAGTAGTGATGGCCGGAAGACAGGTGTTTTGGGACAAACAATTTGAAATTCTCAAAAAATACTTCTAATCCAATTTTGTTGTAGTTATTTAGAAGCACGAATCCTACGAATTTGAAGAATTTCAAATATCTGCGAGCAACCATCGTCGCATTACCAACAAGTGCCAAAACCTGCAGTTTCCATAGATTTTCGGCCATAACTTTTTTGATATTCATCGGATCTTTTTACGTGTGGTCTCATTTTGTATGTCTCAAAAATACCTTAAAATCTTATATGAAGAATTTTTTCGTTTCTGCTAACACTTTCGATTGAATCCCAAAAAACACGCTTTCTCATTGTTGTTGGCGAATAAAAGGTTTTCACATAAAGATTGGTGTACCCATTTTATGCGTCCGTGTTTTGAAGACCCTCTTGAATAACTTGCAGCAATAAAACCATACTATACAATTATTTCGCAAACCAGGGGTATTTTCGTCTAATATGATTAGACCAATGAGAGATACATTTCTGCCACGCATCAGCTGTCACAGCACCGATTGCATCTTCCAAGAGGATACGAACGTCAGACATTTGGAATGTCTGATTTTTAAGAGCTACCTCGTTTTTGATCTGAGTCCATATTAGCCCTATTGGATTCAACTCGCAATGATACGGTGTAAGTCTCAATACCATAAATCACATCTCCCTAGCGATTTAATTAACAGCTTGTTTGATGAATCGGGGTTTGCGCGATTTGCAACAATTATGCCTTCAGCATCGTATCATTGCACGTTATGTTTTTAGACACAATCCAATTATAAATGTCAGCTTTTAGCTAATTTGAGGTGGGGAGGCTTTCTGTACGTCGAGTGTGGTACGACGCATTGTCCATGATAGTCACCGAATCGGGTTGGAGCTTGGATGATATGGATTTGAAACAAGATTCAAAAACTTTGGCATTCATGTCCTCGTGGTAATCACCAGTTTTTCTGGATTGGAAATATACTCAACCCTCCATTCACAAAGTCAGATCGTCAGATGCACTAACTGTATGTGTTATTATTAATCGGCGACCAGAGAAACGTTTCATTCCGGTACTCCATCACGATGGACTTGTCTATGATTTGTCATATTCAAATCTTGCCAAAACTTAAAAGCAGTATGGCCTTCATTCATCCACGTGTCATCCAAGTAGTAGATTTGCTGTCGCCCATTACGCGAATACTTCGTATGGTCTTCAAGTATTCCCTACGCCACATAAAGATGTCATCTTTTTCGATTAATGTCCCTTTTTCGTTTTGAATATTTGATATCAATTTCGCACAAGGTTCTCAATAGAATGTGACGAGGTATATTTGGAAGGCTTTCGTCACCGTCCAAGTCACGTTGGAGCTTTTTTAGTGTGGGTATTTCATTTCATAAATAAAAACAATGCACTTTTCGACGAATTACATCATCTAGGACAAGTTTTTTACGTCCTCGTTTTTTCGTTTCCGTTGTTATTGGATATATGTACATCCTCTTTTTCTGGTTTCAGGATTCTGCGAATGGCCCTGACTGATATCTTGGTCATATCGTTAAGATCTCTCATACTTCATCCATTTTTTATCAGGAAATCGCGAACAAAGTGCATTGTAAACATTCTTCATGATGTTCCTTTCACCAGGACATAAAATATGTCGCTGGTTCGTATTACACATTGCATTTCGTTCCATTTTTGATATTGAGAAATCTCAAAGCTGGAGATACTACAGACCAAAATATGTGAATTGACCTAAACATACCTTAGTCCAAAAGTTGATAGTTTGCGAGATACAGGATGACAAAGTTACAATTTTATTTTCTATTTTTCCTTATTGCTTGAGAAGTATTTCAGATTTTGGCATAATAAGGTTTTCCAGTATGAGGAACGAGAATCCGTTATTTTTTATGACCAAACTTCTAGAGGGCGCCACTTACAGCACTATTTTGGTAAATAACTTATCATAACTTTTTGTGCTGCCTTACTGACCAAAAAATTTTATTTTCTCGTATTTCCACAACAAAAAAGGTTTACTTGTTAGAAGTATCTAAAGCTAATAGTTTTCGAGATATTTGTTTTTAAAGGTTCCAATGCATTCTCTGTAACATGATGATAAAACATTTTTACAACAATAATCAAGTTGCTTTGGATAATATCTGAGTAACGTTGCGACGCGAATTCGCCAAGCTAATAGTGCCTGATGAATATCAGCAATCGCTGCGGATAAATGTGTGACGGATTCCGACACGGTCTGATATGGACTTAGTGGGCAATAAACTCTTTGTTGACAATTTCACGTCGCCTGTAATAACGATTTGGTTTTACACTTGCTGCCTAAATGCCAATTTTCTTCGTTTATTCATCGCTAACACCTTTTTTTTACTAGACATTTTAAAACTACCTTCTGTAGCTGTCAGGATTGATTTTTGACTGATGTTTCTAGAATTTAAGTTGTATCAGTTAAATCATAGTAGCCGTGATCTCGTATCTTTGAGGAATTTGCGTTGCAGAATGTCGGATGACTTCAACAAACATTTTATTGCTATAAAGTGCAGTAATGAATAATATTTTCGACTCCAGTTCAATGATGTTTTGTTTTTTTATAGACGTAAATAATATACTGAAAAGTCAAGCTCTCCTTGTCGATACTTTAATTAGGTCGTTGCCATCGCAGTTGCCCGGTTTTTGTGAGTTTTCCAGATTGGAGAAAATCTAACACATGAACGAGGTTTTTACACATGAAATGGTCCATATTCAATCATTTTTAGATACTGCACCTACGTACTTGGTATATTATATATAATAATTATTGGTTGAATTGGAACATTCACATTTAAAATACATATTT